TGTATTTGAAACCAGCATAACAAAACTGCACAAGAGGTTTGTTTAGTCACGGTTGCTAAAAAAATGCAAAAAATATGTCGAATATGAGTCTGCGCTCTTGAGACTCAATCTGTTCTTTGACCATGCCTGTGACTTAAAAACAGTATTTCGATTCTACATTTCAGAAACTTGCAGTTATAGGGTGCACTAGCTCAGAATTTCATGGTGGAAGTGAACACAATGGCAGAACAGTCTTTACACATTCTTTCCAGTGTGTGCATGTGTGTGCAATAATTTGTGTACCCTAGGTCACCTACTTTGTTCAGGCAGTGATCATACCCTTGTGTTTTAACACAGGTGACAAAGGGGATGTTAAGGGAAGGGGGGCAAATAAATGGAGTAGTATTGGCAAGAAGAGTTCATTTATTAGTTAATTTAAAAAAGTCTGCATTCTTTGTATCCTGTTTGATGCAGTTCATTGCCCAGTAGTAGAGTATTGTCCATAAGTCAGCTGGTCAAGTAGTACCATTTCTTCTGCACTATATTTTCAACCCTGGAAGGCCATCAGCCCAGGCGTCTGGCCTAATTGAGTGCTTCTCCTTCCTGTAAGAAAGAAAAAGAAGGCAAATCACAACACACAGCTGCCTGCCTTCATAAAAACAAAAGGAATAGTCTCAGTGCTAGAGGGAATTTATTTACTACTCATGCGAAACCTTTACAAAGTCATGTAGTCATCTGCATACACGCCAGGAAATAAAGCGCCATTGCACAGCACAAAGTTCTCTTGTGTTGCAAATATGAAGCGCACGGAAGACTGGTGTCTTGGGGTACATTCAAAAACCTCCTAAAGGTGATGTTGATGTTGACAGGTGCAGCTTGGTGTGGTGGGCCTGGAACTTCCCCAACTTCAAGATCTGTACCGTTGGCTTGAAGTGGACTTCCAGCCTCTCAAGTTGTCCGGGTGTGTCATGCAGTGCTTTGACTTCATTAACAAGTGGGAAGAATGCTCTGAATTGCGCATGTATGTGACTGCTCTGCAAGACATCACTATCATGCGACTGCTGAAAGAGGTGCTTTTTCATTGTTGGTACATGTTTGTTGTCTGTGGTGTTCACTTTTGCTGTCTTTCACTGCAGGTGTCGCAGGTGTATCAAACCATTGAAATCAAACGCTTGCTTGAGCTGGCCCCTTTTGCCAATGCCTTTTACTTGGAGAACATGGTGGTGGATGCCGTGCGAAGAAATGACTTGCAAGTCCGCATTGACCACAAACGTCGATGCCTGCATTTCGGCTCCGAGCTTAGTGTCTCTCAGCAAGAGGAAGTGGTGGAAGGGCCACATTTGCAGGGTATGCCAAGTGAACAGATTCGTTGTCAGCTTGTCAAGCTGTGCTCTGTCCTGCAGCGATCAGTTCATCTCATCAGACCAGAAGAGGTCAAGGCAAGTGTTTGCGTGTGATAGGCTTGGTCTAGCAGGTTTTAATTTTCCATTTTGTGCACTCCCCACTATCTAGGACTCTACGAAAGAACTCAAGATGAATATCATAGATGCATACCGCCTGGTCTGCAAGAAAGAGCACAAGATCCTTGAGCGCCAGCAAATAATAGAGGCTCGCAAAGAGATGCTGGAGAACCTCACTTTCCAGCGGGTGAGTGACAATGTTTTGTACTCTTGATTGTTTCAGTTGACATGTTTACAAAGCCGAAAATACACATTGTTCACTTTGCAGGAGGAAGAAGAGTGCAAACAAATGGAGGAGAGACAGCAGAAAATGCGCGAGGCAGAAAAAGAGCGCATAGTGCGCGAGGCAGAGGAGCGTGCCAAACAGCGCAGCCAGCGAGAACAGGATGAGATGAAGAAAAAAGTGGTGCTAGAATAGATTGAGCTTTTGCGCAAGACTGATATAGGGGCACACATATTTGAGGAATTAGAGGAAGAAGAGCTTGAGCGGCTTGATCCTGAGTAGATACTGAATCAACAGGTAGAGCAGCTGGATCGTGAGCGTAAGAAATGCAAACAAAGTTGAAAAAGCAAGAAAGAAAGGTGGACTACATGGAACGTGCTAAACGTCTGGAAGAGATCCCTCTGTTGCAGGAGGCCTATGAGCACTTCAAGCTTGAAGACCAGAAGTTCTGGCTGCAGAAAGAGGAGGAACGCATTCGTTTGCTAGTTCAAGAGCGAGAGGTTGCACTCCAACACAAGATGAGGCTGTCGCGCATGCACGATGACAAAGAGGAGTTCCTAAGCAAGCTGACGCAGGACCCCTAGTCCGTCTACAAAGATAAGCGCCGGCAGTTCGAGCAGCCGCTTGAAGAGGAGCGCCGCAAGAGGCTAGCAGCTCGCAAAGCTGAACGCAAAGAGCGATGCGAAAAATTTTTGCGCGAGCGCGAAGAGGCAAGACGGCGAGCCGCCCTGGAGGAGCAGAAGCGCATCGAGGCTGAACGCCTGAGTAAGCTGCGGGAGATGGAGGCCATTAAGGCAGCGCGCGAGCGGGAGATTGAAGAAAAGCAGCGGAGAATGGAAGAAGAGCGCCAGCGCCAGGAGGCTGAGAAGATACGGCAGCCAACTAGCCGCACCGAGGAGACAAGCAGCTGGCGCAAAAGGTGAAATGTTTTGCCTTCTGTACAGACTTGCCTAATGTGGCATTATTTTCATAGATGACTTTTTTTCTCTCTCTTTAATTTTCAGAGACGAGGAGGCAAAGCGCAAAATTGAGTCGTGGAGAAGTAAGTAGCCTGAATGCTAGCATAGAGCTGTGAAAACTCACAAACTGTATACACGTTCATCTTCTCAGGCCGTACTCTTGACAACCGTGAGAGCGAAAAAGAGTCCTTTGGAAGAAGAGATCGTGACAATGCGAAGGATCGCGACAACGAAGACAACTGGCGCCGAAAGAGAGACATTGATGACGGTGAGGCTACCAGAATGTATTATGTCTATGTTTAATAAAATACTCTGAAAACATGGGTGACCACATCTTTTGCAGTTTATTGTAGTTTAATTTTATTATTCAATTATATGCAGAGCCACCAGGATCAAGAGCACCAGAGTCTTGCTGGCGCAAAGCTGAGCCAGATGCTGACAAAAGTGGTTCATGGCGCCCTGGTGGAACGTCGTGGCGTTCAGGGGACAATCGGGTGCGAGATGGTGGTCGTCGGGACTTCGGGGAGGAGCCTCGTCCACCACCACCTCGAGATTTCGAAAGAGAGGATCGTGGTCGTCCTCCACGGGATTTCGACAGAGAAGATCGTGGCCGCCAGGAGTTTGGTCGAGACTTTGGGGATGACCGCCGTCGTAGGGACTTTGGACGAGCCCGAGAGTTTGGAGATGATCGCCCCGCCGGGTCTGGGGAAAGTGAGAACTGGCGTTCTGGGCTCAAGGAATCCAGAGGTGGTGGGTCTGGCTGGCAGTCAGATGATAAACGTCCATCACCACGAAAAGGTGAGGCAGCACAACGCACTACAAGGAAGTCTTAGCACTAAATCTGCATTGCTCCCTCAAGCCTTCATTTCTTCCAGCAGTGAATTGCTGGAAGTTAGACGTGATGTTACACGCTTTTTCACAATAAGTGTTTTCTTGAATTGGTGATCTTGCCCCACAGCAAATGTCCCAGTGTGTAGTGCTGTGTATGCAAGAAAAACTTTTGCATTTGCTAGCTTTTTTATCTGAAAACTATGAAGGCTTGCACCCATGCACATACAAGAGAAGAGACAAATTCAAGAGTTCTTACTACCACTCCTCTACTGTCGACATATACTATAAGGTGGCAGATCAAGTTGCGTGTGAAATAAAGATACCAGTCAATTTCGTGCATTTTCCTTCTTTTTGCTTGATTACCAATAAAACATTTATCCTTATCTTAACAATAGTCTGAACCGTTTTCTTTGAACATTTTTGCCTACCAATAATAGTAGGTGGACTAGAGCCGCAAGAAAATGTGCCCCTTGGTACTGAAGTGTGCACTCAACACATGCTCTTTCCTGTATTATGTGACCTAGCACTGCAGGAAATTTTTTATAGACATGAGGGCTACCCACGTGCAGTGAAGATCCTCTTTCCTGTATAAAGTATGTGCCCTAGCACTGCAGGGAATTTTGTATAGATATGAGGGCTACCCACAACATGCATAGGCCTAAATTCTGTTTTCCACCTCTGCACAGATCACATTACTGGCCCCTGGAGAGACAAAGAAAGCAGGCCAAACAAGCCAGATGCCACTGAGGATGGCTGGAAGGCAGTCCACTAAATCCAGTGCACAGATCCTTACTGGCCCCTGGAGAGGCCAAGCTACGCTGGTGCCGGAAGAGGCAAGGAAGCAGCAGGCCAGGCTCAACAAGCCAGATGAGGATAGAAAGTAGTCCACTACATCCAGTGGTCCTGCCATTGCTATTCAAAAACTGGCTTGCCTACTGAAGCTGGCAACTTTTCAAAGTAGAAAGGCAGAAGAATACGGCATTCTTCTTTATGTAACTACATGCACCCAAGAACCACTGCAAGAGGTTTGCTGCAATTTTTTTTCAGCATTTATTCTAAACAATCAATAAACTGGTACACAATACTTGAATGATGTGAACAAATTTCCATGAAGCAACCATTTAAAAGTTGTAGAGGCCTTGAAATTTGAACCTCCAATTGAATATATGGTTTCAGTCATAAAAAAAAAGTGGGATGTAGACTTATTCTGTGCCTACTGTACCATTGTACAGTAGGCACAGAATAAGTCTAAAACGTTAGAATAAGAAGAAAACACGTTAACATTATTGGAAGAACCTTTTACAAATGATTGGTTGATTGGTGGGTTTAACGTCCCAAAACCACCATATGATTATAAGAGACCCCGTAGTGGAGGGCTCCGGAAATTTTGACCACCTGGGGTTCTTTAACGTGCACCCAAATCTGAGTACACTGGCCTACAACATTTCCGCCTCCATCGGAAATGCAGCCGCCACAGCCGGGATTTGATCCCACGACCTGCGGGTTGGCAGCAGAGTACCTTAGCCACTAGACCACCGTGGCGGGGCCCTTTTACAAATGAAATGAACATGTGCTGGGAGCACAGTCAATGTGGAGTGCTACTCTAGCATGCATGCGACGTTTTTTTTCCCACTTGCTCTTCAGCAGGCAATCTTAATTTCTTCCTCCTTTTCTTCCCCTGAAAAGTAGAAGTGTGCGCACTGATCGAACTGACCATCCAAGATTTCTGCCACCATGTGGTATAAAAGCTAAAACAATTTACGGTTTTATAACATCCATGCATTGTGCACATTTTAAAGGGAGGCTCAACTGTACAGCCGCAGTCACGTCTGTGTAGAGCACGCGAGCAGCCGGTGTTTGCTCTGCATGGCTAAACCTTGGAGCAGTATCGGGCTCCGAGGTTTTCAGCCTGACAACTAGGCCACTCATGCTTTTGATACACCACTTCAGAGCCTGAAACTGCCTCAAGGTTTCACCCCGCTGAGCGAAAACCGGCTGTCCGTGCGCTCTACACAGACGTGGTCACGGCTGTACAGATGTACTTGAATTTGTTCTAAGCACGTAGCAGCAGGTGCAGTACTTTACTCTAAATGGCATAACTTCATAACCGCGAAGCCCAAGGGAACTTTGCTGATTATTTGGACCTTCCCTCTAAAGTGGTCACAAAACAGTCATGACAGCCAAGCTACTTCAAGAAAGCAAGCACATAGCATGAAACATCTGCATGGAAAATACATACAAGGACTTTAGACAGCCTGCAAACAATGCTGCAAACAATGCAGCATTGTTTGCGGACAGCCTGCAAACAATGCTTTAGACAGCCTGCAAACAATGTGCCATCTGTCGAAAGTCATGCACATGTCTTGCAGCAAGCTTTTGCAAAAAACAAATTAGTCATGCATCTACACACTATGACATCTGTAAATGCACATATTGCAAGACGGAGGAGGTAACATCCTTGCTATATATACAACACAAACATTAAAAAAAGGGGGAGGGGGCACCAATCCTTCAGGCTCAATAATAGCTACACAACACATTCACACAGTTGTATGTAAAAGCTATAAACAATACAGGAACTGTACATAATCGATTCATACAACATCCACTTGTTCACCAACAATAGAAGGTAGAGGTAATCAACATTGATTCTCATTAGTTAGGCAGTAGTTGCATTACTGAGGCAATTATTTTCAGTGGCGTAAAATACTGTATCGAAAAAGCCAGCCTTTCAAAAAAAAAGTAAACATGTTGGCCAAAAGACGAAACTGTACAATGTCTTTAGTACCATGCTTGTGACAGCTGTAATAACCTAGTAAGCATGAATAGAAGTTGACCTTGGCCCTTCAGTACGATTTGACTTAGCCCCCCTCCACCTCGATTTCTAAACCTAGGTACAGCAAAAAAAAGCTGACGAGAACTACAAGTAGCACAGGACAAATAAAGCTTTGGTCAGACGTGCCATGACTATCAGATTTACAGCGGTACCTCAAGTAGCCTCAGAGTAGAATAAAAAAGTCATAAGGCACTTGCTCTAATATCACTAATACTCCACATACAGAAAATGTTAGGCTACTGACAAAATTTAATCATATTGTAAAAAAAAAAAGGTTATGTATGCAGGAATAACGACCCAGTTACCTTATTCTGATTGGGTGACTACAATTGAGCAGGAATTTTTTTTTTTTTTAGTGCAGTAGTATCTCATCGCTGACATCCTATTTGTATGCACCAACTTAATTACAGTTGGGTTGCAAAACAGATAACATGCAATGTATACCAAAGAAAAAAAAATACCTTATACTCCACACGGGCATAGAGTATTACGTTGCATAAAAGCTGTGTTTCTGCAGCTATAGTCTGACTTTTGTGTAGATCAGCCAATGTTTTTATATTGACAATGACACACATACCACTGCATTATAGGAAAGTTCTTTCACTACCAGATCATACACACCACTAAAATGTTGGCCTTTCTGGAGCATGAAGTCATTTTGTACGTGTGCGCTGTACGTATGTGTTCAAAAGGAGTATTATACAATGGAAAAGGCAGCGGATTTCATGATACAATGCAACACATTAGTCTGAATTGTATACTTCAGAACTTCCATTTTGGAATGTGCAAACATTCCAACATGAAAGCTACCCTCACTGTTAGTTACTCCTGTTTTATGAAGGTTTTGAAGAGTAATGTTTTGTACAGAGGTCTCCCTTGTGTCTGCAGAACATACACAGCAGCTCAGCAATGAGTCCTAACTTTGCCATTTTCGATAATGAAGCAGTAACAAGGCTTAGGTTCAGACGACATGAATAGAAACAACAGTGTGGTATTACTGATCACATCACTAAACATATAAGCCACCACTTTTTGTATACATGCATGGTGAAATATTTCATTTTGGATTCTAGCATCCCAATAAATAGATGCCTGCAGTTAATACGCTGAATTTCAACATGCTGCATTATAGTCTTTTCATTAAGAAGCCAATACTGCAGGCTACTGATAGTAGGACCAGTAGAACAATAAACATTTTCCGTTAGCTTCTCAATTTTTCTCATTCAATCTATCAATGGTGCTCAAAATTTCTCGCATAAAAAAAATTGTTTCAGCACAGCACATTTCTTTCAGAACTTCCAGTGTCATCAAAAGTCGAGTTTCAATCAGCACTGTCATTTTAAGAACACGGCAATGTTAACGCCACTAATATTGTGTATGTGCTGTGGAATTTTGCCAACGCAGTAGGTGCCACAGCGACCCCTATATCACTAGTAATGACTGAGGTTGTCATGTAATGCAATGTGCACTGCTCATGTGTTGCCACTGATCAGATACACTAAAACTGTATAAGTTACTACTACTACATAGATATACTTCATCTGCCATAAAGAACTAATTTTTTCTTTGCTCACAGCCACACAAGTTTGTGCACTTGACTTTGTCTTATTAAACCCCAATGAAAGTTTTCTATGCACGGCAACAAATTCAGGATTACAAACACTTCAAGCATGACACAAAGCAAGCTATGGGAGAGTCATATGATTTACATGCAGGTTCATGCAGAGCAGAAACAATGCAACATGACACCAAGAAAGGTGCTGTCACTGAAGCAATAGGGAGTGACAAAATAATGCATACTTTTGTGAGATTGCTCCTTTGTTAATGATCTTGAATTGTAGTGGCATCCAAGAAAGACACTACCCTTACATCTGCTCCCTTGTACAGCCGACAAATGGTGCCTTATGAGCACCAGTGTTCTTTGCACATCATGCTCAAGCTATGTTCTCTTAATATTAAAATGGCGTTATATAAAATGCTCACCAATGTTCTAAGGTTTATGTTCAAAGGATGTGCATTGAGCACCTGCAAATAATACTGAAGCTGTTGGGTATTATAAATATGATCTCTGGCACGGCGTTTTCACTGGGGCAAGTTATTCACAGTTCGCTGCAGTGAGAGCCATGATACCTCCTATGCAGAGTGCAGTGTATAGGGGGCAATATAGTGTAAATTAGCTCTCGCATCGTAAAACAATAAAAGTAACTTCATGTTTCATAGTCACAAAAACGGCACAAAGTGACTGCAATGTGGAACTGTTCTCTGTATGTCACAACAATTACGCACTCCTTCCACTTTGCACAATTCAACTTGCATTGTAAGCCACACTAATCCAGAGCTCTACATGAACAACTGACCTCTTATGTACCATCAGGGATAAATGAAGCATGAATGGGACATGTTTATAAAGGCCAACTCCAGCGATTTTTATACCATGCCAGGATAATGGTGCTTTTAAGTTCTTGAGACACTTTTGTCACGCACCCAATACCTGAAATTCTTGACAAATATGTAAAAAATTTGCAATTAGCAGAAAACTGCAGTACCGAAACTCAACTAAGTGCTCTTCGACGTGACATAGGCGTTTGCCCGAACCTGCCTGATTGCGCACAATGCCCGCCAGAGGACACTACTTGTCCACACCGTCAATCGGCTAATGCGATTACGCTGTTATAGTATGCGGCCAACAACGCAACACCACTCCCTATCGCACCACCTATCGCAGGCTCACCAACACGGAAAAGAAAATGGCACGCCCAACCAAGGAAGTGCCGGCAAAACCCACAAAATCTATAGCAGACAAGCAGATGCTGCAGTGGCACATTACTTCCGCCAGGCAAAACTCAGCCTCACACCAGTCAAACACACAATGTAGCCATTAATTCTGGCAAGCGAGGTGAGCGTTTGGAGGCAAGCTATAAAATTCATTTGAAAAGGATCTGCGAAACTCTCAAGCCTGCAATTTAACATGAATGGCCCAAACGTGCAAATAATTGTACCCAGTGAATTTCATTGAGGTTCATTTGGCCTCAAAAAATCATCGGAGTTGGCCTTTAAACAGACACTTCAGAAATTTAATTATATTTTTACTCCCACAGCTACATTCGAGTAAGACAATGCCGTATAAAGGCTCTGCAATAGTTTTAAGACTTTACAGTAATTCAATCGCCATACAGACCTTAATTACTTCAACACTGATCTTAGTTTAGGATTCAGACATGAACTATTTTGTTTCAATGATGGCACATGATCATGTGCCCCAGCCACACCGATTCCACAAAACAAAAACACAACAAGCACAACATAACGCAGCTGAAGGTCAAAGCCACAATCAACTGCACCAATCAACCAGTGAAGCAGGTTTTCAGGCTGCAAAAGGCTTATAGAGTGACATTTTCAGCAGTCAGCATGAACAACAACCTTCCAAGAATGCTAGAAAGCAGTGCAAATATGCGCAATCACGAAATTGGGAGAAAGTTACAATAAACACATGAAGCAAATGGATGACAACTGCATCAGCAGGACATTATACAATCCTTGAATTAAGACTACTGCACCATTAAAAGTATGCTGCCTTTCACTGCAGTCCTCTGCATAAATGTGCAAGTAGCAGTGTCGAAACATTATTCCAGCGGTGGAACCACTCTGGCCATGAGTACCCTTGCTGCAGGCTGCCCGAGTGGAGCTGTGTAGCACTTAATAGAGAGGACTATTATTTATTTATGATACATAAGGTACCGGTATTCCCACAGCGCCTACTTCCAGCACGAGAGGAGATTCAATAAGCCGGTTTTCATCATTGAAAATCAAAAGTTACCTAGACACACTAAAAAGGGTGATGATCTTTACCAACACTTACTTTTAACAATAACAAGTTGGTGGCTAAAAATAAATCAGCAGCCAACAGATTCTACCAAACTCTAAAAGAACTAAAGGTCATTGATTAATTACATAAATTCCCAAGTGCTCCACCTGTTGGCATGAGATAAAAGAAGCCCTATGCTGACCCGGCTACTTGGGTAAGTCTCATGAACTGCCATTGGTGCTCACATGGCTAACAAAAGAGTGGTACTAATTATTAAATCACTATCATGGGTGATTTTGCATATATTTGTGTGTTATTATAAACAACATTAATAAAAGGGACAATGAAGCTTTATTACAATCCTTTTGCTTCATTATAAGAATGTACCCCCGCCCTCCCTCCTTCATTCAGCAGCTCTCTGAACTGCGCTCTGAGTTAAACTTGGTTGTTTCTACTTGTTTCCGCTACCTTCCTTTTCCCCTTTACGCAATTTGAATCTGCAGCGAATGTCACCACTTCAACATGACTTAAAATTTGCTATGAGAAAGAGAGAGGCACCAGAGGCTGTATCAGTCACTTTTGGTGATATTAACTTCACTAGCAGGCAACTTATCAAGCCAGTAGAAAAATGTCATTAGCCACATGAGAGATTTAACTAAAGGCCAGCTCACACTAAAGTGAAAGGAGAATACAGTCCAAGTAATGCCCACATCACATTTTTAAGCAACTAGTGAAGCTCAGGTTCAAGTATATGGGTGTGCTTTCATGGCAAATACTATATCATGCCAGGACAAGTCTTGACTCCTCTAAGCTTCTTTCGATTGGCTAGAAGCTGTTGTAATGACAAGCTTCTAGAAATTGCAATCAAATGCTTTGCATCTGAACCACCCACCACACTGAAGCTTCCAGCACCTGGGAAAAATGTGAATTAGGCAAATTGCACAGGTGTGAAATAGTTGGGATATCCTACATGCCTCATAACTCAATTGTCTCTCCAGGCAACCAATAATGGTTCACCATTAATGAATGAGATGCAATTGCTCAATTCAGAACTGAGGAGCGGCCATGTGATGAGTGTGCAGTGCCCGTCAGCAGTGCCACATCTGATGGCCCGCTCACCTTGTCATCCAAGCTATATTCCACTTTCCTTTCTCGTCCGTCACGGCCACGCAGGATTTTGGTCTCTGTGGTTTGCATCAACTGGGTTGCGAGAAAGTCCTGACAGCAAAAGAAATAAGACATGAGGCAGCACTCTGCTTGTTTACCACTAAGAGACAGGTTCTAAGGTCTTTCAAGAATCCAAGTGATTTTCAAAAAGTGCTGAGAAACCACTTTGTTTTTGTGCTTTCATATTAGCCCTCAGAATAAGGGTAGCGCTGCGATGACGTCACGGCTCAAACTCTTTCGACAGCCATCATGGCTTGCCCAAACAACGTGCTCGCTTTTTATGCTGTTTTGAGTTCTTGGGTTCACATCTTCTTTGTCTCAGATTTTAAATGACGAATAAAGCAGCAATGCTGTTTCAGGTGCAAAAAATATATTTGTGTATGCTATCACCAAACGTGCCCTCGCTCCACCAAGCATATTTCAAAAGTGGTGATCAGGTTGTATTGTTCTTGGGAGATTCATTTAGGAGTATGATGGTTTGTTTCTCTGCGAGAAGTTTTATTTTGTACCGGCTGCATCTGCACATCTCTGGACATCCTTTCTAGCAGTCTGTCAGACCTGTACTCCAGTTTAGATAACCGACTTGTAAATAAATTTCGCTTGTAGTTCATTACCTCCGAGCAATATGCAAGGCCCAGGAATTTTTTTCAGGGGGCGTTTTTGGATAGAATGGCTAACTTTGGCAACTGATGGTCGATGTGAAGGTGTGTAAATACTTTAGTAAAACACGAAAAATTGAAGCATTAAAAAAAATTTGGGGGGGGGGGGGGGGGTGAGACTTTTCTCAAACCCAATCTAGCTACGGCCTTGGCAGCATGAACTGACAGGTGGAAAAAGCATGAGAGACGAGTTTGTACCTCACTGAGGCAAATAAAGTTTTTTGTGCGAGCTATGTTGTCAAGTGCACCACGGCAACAGTTGTGAATGCTCAACTTATTAGTGTCTGTTCGGCAAAGAAATCCTACTAGTGATTCAAATCAAGTTTTGATTACAGTTTGTTATGTGACTATCAATTAAACCAGCTGTTCATGAAGGTACGGTATGCCTGCATAATTCCCGACTGTTGAGAAGAAACCTGTACTAGCTGCGAATACTACTATTTTTACAAAAGTTCTATGTAACTAGTATTATAACTTTGTTGAATTTTTTAGATATGCTGCTAAACAAAAAATGGAGAAATCTTAAGAGTTCACAATTACTACAAGTAACATTTGCTATGCTTTGCTTGGATTTTTTTGTCTCTTAGTTCTAATTAAATATGCTAAGATTTTTTTTTTTTGCTAGAGAAATCATCTACAGTCTCTTGTAGCAGAGAACACAATTTTGGCGAATTACCTATTTTATTTGCAGATGTGCATGGAACTTGCATGATAAACTGCAAAATAGTTGACAAATTAGTCAATTAGAAATTATGTACAGTAAAAGCTTGTTAAGTTAGATTTACAGGGTCCAGAAATAGTATTTAATTAAATGAATACTGAATTATCAAAAGTGTAGAGAGAACCATAAACTAATGCCTGCTACATGAACAAACTTTCATTTTGTTGACAAATATGTAAATGTTATACTTACTTTGTATAAGAGCAGTGCAAAAGCTACAATTTTTGTCTTGCCACTTTGTTTACAATGCGACCATGGGGTTGCCAGAGACTCCAAATTTAATTACCTCACAACATGCTCTGCACCACTCCCTTAATACAAAGAATTACCACCACCACATGCATGTGATCTTAGTTCATTAACAAGTAAACTGACCGGCAACCAATGGTTCATCCATTACAACATAGCAAAGAATCTTTAATGGCAGCATGCCGGCTACAGTTGAAAGCTCATCTGCAATAGCTTGCGACATGTTTGACTTTTGTGATACTACTACACGCACATAGTATCAAGCTGAGGAGTGCCAGATCTGCATGCAGAAAAAACTGCAGGACTAATTGATAAAGATGGCAATGTGGACAGTGCCACCTCGCTACGGTGGTCTGCGAAAGCTGTTTCTACTTTTTTGCATCGCACATTTGCAATGCTTCGCACTTGCCGTAATCCAAAGGATTGTTAGAATTAACCGAGCTGCGGCCAAATATACTAACCAAATTGACAGGAGTTTGATGCTACTAAATGATCAGCCAGTTGCTAGCCGAGACCAGGGAATGCGACAGAATTACCAATTTTCTGATTTAATGACAGTAAATTTAATGCACATTTACCGTAATTTTATTTGTAATACTGAGAGACAAATGCATCAACTGCAGAGTCTGAGGTAAGCTGTTATAAAGTGGGAACAATTTAGCAGAAATGTTTCCTTAGCAATGGTTACTTGAAACATGTGGTGGAAACAATGTTTTGCAGCCCTGCATGATCATTTCACAATGAAGCTTTCGTTCACACAGCAGTTTGTTCACTAGTAAGCCTTCTTGTCCAAACTTTCTACAGCTTAGTTAACTATAGATAGTAATAAACGCTTTCACCTTCTACCATGTGATATTTACACCATAGAGCAAGCACCACTGAATTGCAAAAAAGCGGGGACACGGCCAGTGCAAAAGAAGGCAATCATCTATGGCAAAGCACACGTGTCCTTGCCATGACATCACATCGCCGCGACCGCATCAACATTAGTGTTCGTTCTCGGGGCTAATAAACACAAAAGAGAGATAAAAAAAATAGTGACCAAAGAAGAAACAAAGAAACAATAAACAAAGAAATACTGATGAATGGCCTCTGGAAAACAAGTATTCTCAATTAGAAAAAACGGCTGCAACCATTTCATTACGCAGAAGCAAACAGTACTCCTATCATCATTGAGAGTTGGGTCACTGAGAACATATATGATATATCTGAAATGGCGGTTTTTGGTGACAGTAAGCACACTGTAAATTAAAAAAAAAAGAGTAAAAATGTGGGGTCTTATGGTTCCTTATTTAGCACTACACACGTGCTTGCCATCACCAGTGAATAACGCTGTTGAAGCAATGAAAAAGGGGAAAAAAAAAAAATGAGATACACACATATTGACTTGGCACTAACAAAATCATAAATATTAAAAACTGATGGTCTTCAAAGAACTCTGTCAGGGAACCCCTTCCCTAAGGGCCTATTCACACTGGGCAACAAGTTGGCCAACGCTATCCGCAACCACACAAAAACGTGGTGTCAAACACTCTGTTACAATAAGCAGCTCGCAATTGTTGAAAAGCACACTGCAGATAAATTTTTGGCCAACCAATCAACTTGTTAGAAACATGCGAGCATTACTAAAGCAAAAGCTGTCTATTTTTGCTGTCTAATATCAATCCCTGTCTTTTCACCAGATTCTTTACTACTTGCCAAGCAACAATGGCTACAATAAGCTTTCTCTGTGATATTACTCGTGCCACCAGTTTTCTGCAACAAAATATCTCTTTAGCTAGGGCTTCATCTCAAATTTGAGCATGCCTATGCTTGGTTGCTTTTGCCAGTGGGACATGCAGCCGTGAATATACAAGAAAGGTGCTCTCATTTTTGAAGACTGTCAGTAATGCCTTAGAGCCATTATGACAGGTAGTCTTCACGATTTGTAGCACGCAGTGAACCAAAACAATGACAGGACAAAACGCATACAAGCAGGCTTACTTTGCTGCCATGTTCACCCTGCATTGAAAAACCTTCAAGAGCATGAGCCAACGCTTACAAATCTCCACCATTTGGTAAAGTTACGACTGTGACTATGGCACTCATGTGATGCATTCAAAGACGACAGGGACTGTGCGGTGCATTGTTTAATGTGCCTCTTGTCTGTATCACACAAGTGCTATGGTTACAACAGAATCAAATAAGCTAGCCCAACAGTCTGTACTCTGGGCAGAGATAGTTTTGTCGGTAAGAGGTTCCCTTGAAAGCAACACACTGCACGACAAAAGCAAAGACAACACCATGTCATGTATAGCGGAACTCTCACTGGTAGCGAAGCTTCTGTAGAGTAGCAACATGACAAGCTGTGTGTCCCTTGCTGAAGCGTGCCATTTCTAAATTACAAAAAAAAGAAGTGTTGTGCACCCTTGGGGGCGTACAGAGTTCAGACGTTTCACAAGGAAAATAAATGGGATGAAGCCAGATAAAGCTTCATAGCATGCGCTGCGTCATGTGCATGTCGAAACAGAAAAAAAATAGTAATAATAAAAAATGAAAATAAAACTTAAAAAAAAAACACGGGCACAAAAATGCGGCTACACATGCTGTCGCCAACACTTTGTCGTTTGCCTTTTGTTGCTGAAAGTTGTCACACCAAACAGCATCGTTGCTGTTGGCAACAAAGATGTTGACACACGTGTTGACCAACACGTCGGGAAACATGTTGGTCAGCTGTTGGGAAACATGTTCCGCAGTGTGAATAGGCCATAAGACGCAGCACATCTTATATGCAACATATGCACCTTATTTGAGAGTCCTTAATTATGTGCTGTAAAATTAGTACTAAATGGTGGGGCATGTGAAACTCCGGAAGATAAACACGGTAGCGTTGGAACAGTGCCAGTGCTTCATGCTTGGTCTTACATAAGGGCTACAGGAATAGGAAACTGCAGTAGTAGCATGCCAAGGTTCAATCTGCAGCACAAGAGTACACAATCTGCCAGGCCACTAGGGTGCTTAGTTTGCAATATCATTGTTTCGCAACTATTAAAGGCATTGCAATAAATGTCACCATTAAAGCAAAGCAAAACCTCGATAACTCAAACTCAGTTCATTCAAAATCTTATATAATTAGAGGCATTACTGTGGTTCTTTATATCCTAATGTACTTTGCCTAGATAATTCAAAGTGATAGCCTGCATCTACTCTAAGAATAGGATGATTATGAGTGGCATGCGGCAATACTGGGTGCAAACTTCACCACAGACCTGGTGAAACAGTGGCCCTATGGAGCAGCGAGTTAGTGCCACATAACGATGCTAATGATAGATACGTGAAGCGCCCCAGCCCCATTGCTGTCACTACAAGAACCATTGCATGCATGATACACTAGATTGCCCAAATATGCACCTAAGAGGTGCTTCACTGCA